CTGAGGAGTTTGCATTTAGAGAAGTATAGTTATAAATTTTTTATTAAATAATTTTTTTAAAAAGATGTATATTCTTGTTTAAATAATAAAATTTCTTTATAAATAATCAATGCTTTCAATTTTCATTTTATTAAAAATTTCGTTCTAAAGGCTTAATTCAAAAAAATTTGCTATAAAATTTTGATATAAAATCTTTTATTTTAAAAATTTTGCCCAAAGTTTCGAAATAAATTAAAAGAATATTTCTGTGTCCCTATGCAAAAGCCATGTATCCATGTGATTATTTGAAGTTTTAAAAAATGAATAATTGAATAAATAAAAAAGGAAAGATTTTTAATAAAACAAAAGCCTAATCAACATCATCCATTGCATCTAGTAACTTATCAAACTCAAGAGCAAATGATACTTTTACACAGTTTTTTTATAAAGATAATCAAACTAATTATATAATTATATATTATAAGATTTGTATTTAGGAATTAGACAAGTTAGATAAAATTAATGCAAAACTATATCCATACATTAAATCAGGAAGCAGTACAGGAAACTTAGTAAAACATTTATGCGAGAAGCATCACATAACTTCAAAAAACAATAATAGATATCTTGATGATAATGAAGAAGTAAAAATTAATATATATTTTTTTAATTAATTTTGAATAAACCAATTTTGTTCATTTATTATTATTTTTTTTTTAAGCCAATAGCAATAATTAACTGATCCATTGATTCAGCAGACCCTGACTTACCTTCTCTTTCACCTACACAACAATGAGAATTAACAAAACTTGTAGTTAAGTTTATTATATATAATGTCTAACCTTTAAATATATTAAAATATCCATCATTTCGTAAGCTTCTAAATAGGTTTAAAGCACAATACCAAATACCATGTACAAAAACCATTAAAAAATATATTTTTAAAGCCTACATGTGAGGGACAAAGCAGCTTAAAGAGTTGTTATTAAATGTTAATATAATTAATCTAACAACAAACTTATAGACTGAAAAAAACAATCATAGCTATCTCAGTATTACTATAACATTGTTAACTTCCAATCTTAAACTTCAGAAAGTATTACTTTCGAATCACTACATGTTATATCCACATACAGGTCAAGATATTAGTGAAGAGTTATTTAGTGTTATAAATAAGTGGGAGTTAGTAAATAAAGTACATACTATTGTAACAGATAATAAGGCAAATATGATAAAAGGTGTTAAATTATTAAAAGAAAACCACCTCCCTAATATTAACTGGCAGTTATGCATTGCTTATACCCTTCAACTTTTAGTAAAAGAAGGGTTAAAACAAATTAAACTATTTCATAAATGACTTAGAAGTATTTAAACATTCTTTAAGCTTCCAAAGCAGGCACAATATCTGTGAGATATACAAATGCAGATGCAAATGCAAATAGATTTGTCTGATATAATTCAAAGTAATGCTGAAGATGAAATAATAAATCCACTTGAAGTTCTAAGTGATTGTAAAACTCATTGAAATTTGACCTATTTAGTATGAAAAAGAATTTTAATACTGCATCCAGCAATGAAAACTTCTAAAATTGTGTCTTACTACAGAAGAACAAGAGTATATATTGTCTATCAAAGACGTAATTTTAAAAATATTTCATGTCTAGCCGTATGCAGCATGGATAAAAATCCTCTGATTGGCTAATAAAATAAATAAAGACAATATAAAAATTGTCCAATCCAATTTCAGATCTTAATTTCACGAGATCAAAATTAAGATCCGAAATTAGATTGGATAATTTTTTATATTGTTTGTATTATTTCTATTTATTTTTATTTAGCCAATTATAGGATTTTTAACCATGCTGCCGCATGCATATTTGTATTTGAGTGTAACAAAACCAGGTTACAATAAACTTTCCGGAGTCATGAAGCCATAATACGTACGTACAGTTCGTACTGATAATCAATTTTGCTGACAAACATAATTTAGTAATTTATTTTAACTTTTTATAAACATTTGCAAAACATCACGTATGCTATCGTAAAGAAAATTGCGTGTAATTTTACAAGGCCCTAAAACAAGGGAATACATAATTACGTATTATGGACTATGCCGAAAAGTGGAAGTCAAGAAAACCATCTTTACAAAAATTTACAAGCTTTTTTAAAATGGGCTGATAAATTAGTAGAACTTGTTGATATTATCTGTTGCTTACGCGAAATGCATCAAAGAGGTTTGTACTGGTGATTTCCATAGTGTTAACATTTTATTTAGCAATTATACACGTGTGCATAGCAGACTTTGGATTACCTAAATCGATTATATGACCAAGATGTGATGTAAAAGGTTTTTTTTTATTTACATTGCACTTGAAAAATTATTAGAGAAGCCATAACAACATCGAGGTGCTGATTATATATAATTTTTTCATACTATAACTGATAAAGAATTAGGCATGAAATCGTTATAGATTACGCTCAACAGGAGGAACCGTCGATGTTACATGATTGATCATTCACCGGGTGTGCAACATATATAGGAATTTATATGCATCCCGTGATTTTTAATTTACAGACTTATAGTACTGTAGCGCCAACTGATTAACGATAATTACTTTAGTATACAGTATACGTACGACTTACATACGTACTGTTATGGATTAAACTGCCAATTTGATTCATTACGTTATTTTATTTATTTTATTTTCTTATTTTGATTTTATTATTTCATTTTATTTTTATATACTCTTTTATTTTATTTTACATTTTTATTGTCTGTAGTATTTTTCTTTTCTTGTATATAGTTTCGTCACGTGCTAATTCCGTTTTGATAACAGTACCTAATATAGTATATCCATTATATTTTAAACGCGAAATGAATTAGTTATACAAATTAGGAAAGCCCATGTGGCTTAAGAGGCGTAGTAAATCTAAATTTCGCGATCAACGCTAAAATTTCAACGTTAACGCCAAAATTATAACGCTGACGCTAAAGTATTTGCGCGAACGTTAAATTTCTAACGTTGCCACCAAATTTTCAACGTAGATGCTACAAAAATTAAACATGTATAAAAACTCTGAGAAAATTAATAAAGAAGGATAACTTCCACGTCCATTTCTTTTAAAAGTACATAAGTAATAATAAAAGTAATAAACTTATCTTTGAATTCGACTTGTAACTTTAATAAACCTTCGTAACTCAATTCGACGGACTGAATTGACTGGTAACCTCGAACGTTTTATTAAGACTCGAAATTTTGTATAACTGTCTTCGTACATTCTCGGAACTTGGTCACATGATTTTGTCCGGAAGTTCTTTCCCCTAAGAAAAGTTTTATTTGGAAACGTGTAAAGTAATACCGCCCACCTCCTTTGGCATCACCAGCGTCAGTAGATTTTGAAGTATAGGATCTATAATCCCGGATGCTTAATAACTAAGCATCATTATCAATAATAATCAACCCCCACCTTTGAAACATCAGAATATACCGATATCATTTCCCGAATCATTTTAATTCATCAATTATCCATCAAGTTTTGGTATCATCGTCCAGATCATATTTAAATTGTTCTTAAGACCGATTCGTCCTTCAGGTCCATTTATATTGTATTTCGTTATATAAACATCCATTCCCGTACTCGGTTGGAGTTTAAATTGGCACTATAGTCTATAATTGTATCCCCGCTCTCCCATTCAACCGTTACAGTACGTACATACTATGTGCAAAAAGTTGACCAAAATGAATTTAAAAACTTATAGTAATAGCGATTTTGACGTAAAAATAATCGTTGGAAATGGACAAAATACTAAGGAATTTAAAGCGCATTCAACAATTTTAAATTCACGTTCTCTTTATTTTCAAAGAGCTTTATCCGAACGATGGAATAACAAGGAGCATGATTTTTACGTTTTTAAATATCCAAATATTTATCCATATACTTTTAGGATTATTCTTGAGTCAGTGTTATGCTTTTATATAATTACATAACTTTTATAGTAATTATACGCTAATAAAACTTTTTTAATAATTTTATAAGTTTTATTTATGAAGAAAAAACTAAATTACGAGCATCTGCTGAAACTTGTTTAAATTTAATGGCTTCATCTGACGAACTCGAACTTCTTAATCTTGCAGAATGTGCACAAGAACATTTAATTAAAAAGAATTTATCTTGGTTATTTTCTAATCTTATAACATCACTTAATTTTGCTTGTCAACATGATCATTTCTACAAATTATATAATCTTGTTTTGAATTTTACTTGCAAAAATTCTTATCCACTTTTTAATTCTAAATACTTTACGTTATTAGATAAAGTGGCACTGATATGTCTTTTAAAAAGGGATGATCTTGAACTTGAAGAAATAGAAATTTGGGATTATTTAATTAAGTGGGGTATTGCTAATTCTAAAAAACTTCATGATGATAATATCTCAAATTTGTCTAATGAAGATATTACAAGTTGGTCTGATAATCAATTTGAAGCATTAAAAGAAACAATTTCTCAATGCATTCCCTTAATTCGTTATTGCCATATTCCTAAAAGTTATATTGATAAACAAATTAAACAATACCATTTAGATTCTAGTACATTTATCAAATCCAATGCTTATAAAAGAGGATTTTCCAAATTAATTTCGAATGATATAAAAACTACAATATCAAGCTGGATTGATCGTAAAAACGGTGATTATTATACTAATATTACTGATCATTATAAGTTTAAACTTTTATTACGAGGAAGTAGAGATGGTTTTGATAATAAAACATTTCATAAATTATGTGATTTTCAAGGTCCGACTATTGTAATACTTAAGATTAAAGAAACTGGTGAATTGATAGGTGGATATAATCCTACATATTGGACTGAAGTTATTAATTCTATTTTTAATCTTAAATTTTATGGAAATTATTTTGAAATTCAGGAGATGCCGTATTCCAGTGAAACTTCAGATAGTTTTATTTTTTTCATTTACTAATCCATCAAATCCAATATTAAGTAGAGTGATTACAAGAAGAAATAATAAGGCTATCTGGAGCGATAAATACCATGGGCCTTGTTTTGGAGCTGATTTATGCATGGATTTCGACTGTTGGAGTTATGCACGTGCAGATTATTATTACAAAATAACAAATTCAAGTCAATTTACTGTTGATGATTATGAAGTTTTTATAGTTGATAATTTTAATCAAAGCATAAATTCAGTGTTAAAAACGACTATGGAACTGGTACTTTATTATTTTGTCAAGAATATACATCTTTTTAAAAAAATTATTTAATAAAAAATTTATAACTATACTTCTCTAAATGCAAACTCCTCAG